GAGTGAAGCAGGCTGCAAGTCTGAGCTGTTTCTTGCAAGGTTGGACTGAAATCCTTGAGGGAGCTGGAATTTCTCATGTCATTTCCAGGCTACCTCCATTCTTGAGCCTAGTGTCCAGACTGGCCCACTCCCTGGTAGTCAGGGCTTCTTAGATCACTCTGTGGAGTGGATGCAAGTGACAACCAAGTAGTGATAGTGAAAGAAGCCCACTGAGACATCCCAGTATAAGCACAGTGTCTTCCATGAGCTTCTGGAGGCTGGCAGCATGAAATCACTGCTAGCCTGAAAGTATAGTGGCCAGAAAGATTCAGAGGCGAGCAAGCTTTCACACATCTGTGGAAAAGGTGGAGCACCACCGTGGAGCCATAGGTCAGGTGTAGCTGTGAGTGGTGATACCTTTCTTGCTTTCCTTGTTCCCAACCAGCTTGAATAGTGACAAGTTGGTATTGCAGTTATAATACCTACTTCTACCATCCTGGCTTACAATGACAGTTCGGCTTGGTGAGGAGTTTTACAGAAGACCCACCCCTCCCACCTAGTGTTTTGTATTTCCTCCACCTACAAAAATCATCTCCTCAGTCCTGTGATACCCAAACAGTTCAGCACAGCCAGTTCTCTAGGCAAGCAGTCTCAAACCACTTGAGGTTCTGGGTAAGGTATATTGTGTATATATCTTTCCCCTGCAAAGGCATAAAAGCTCTTTTTTTTTCCTACCTGTTACTAGACATTCATTTACAGTTGGCCATATACTACATGGCACTCAGCTAAAATAAACTACTACTACTAGTAGTTTACCCCTTCCCCTCCCTTTCTACAGATTGCTCAGACTGTATGTGTAATTTACATTTGGGCCAGCTCTAGTCAACAATTTCTGTAGTAAAATGCTTTTTCCATGTAGCCCTGATCAGTACTGGTTAGTAACATTAGAGAGAGAGAGAGAGAGAGAGAGAGAGATGTGTGTGTGTATGTTTGTGTGTGTGTGTGTGTGCATGTATCCATGCATGTGCCATTTAGAAACTGATCTCATCCGCTCAGGTAAGCTTTGCTAACTTTACCATCTGTCTGTTGCTTGCTCTCTGACCTAGTAATTCACCAGCAGGATGCCTTTTCCTAGCTATAGTTGGGAAGCGAGAGGTACTGGGTGGCTCATAAAGCATCCCTGCACTGAATCTGTGCCCAGCAGGTGCTGGAGAGGGCACCTTCCCGCAGATCTGGCCAGTTCCTCTTTGCATGGGCTCCAGGACCACAATTCTTGATGGCAGCTTCCTAGTGGTTACAAACTGGTCCTGATTGTTTCAGAAACAAAATTAAATTTGCTGTTCCCCCAGTAACACCCTGTGATTTATTCGGGGACAAATCTGGACTGAAATAAATCCAAGTTTCTCTTTTGTTAGGCAGAAGGGAAGTGTAAGTAGATAACTATAGTCACCCATATGAGTAAGCCAGGAATTCATGAAGTGATTCACAAATCATTATAAAGACCACTAAAGTCTACTAAAAAGGAGTCCTGTCTGGCTATACAAAGTAGTGTATTATCATTGGGAGGCTTTTTTAGATGTTAAATCAAATGTGAAATCTTTAAAACTGTGCTTTTCATTTGGAGTTTTGAAAAGGATTTTTTTCCTGTTGTTGACTGGTAGTTCAACCATTCTTCAGTGATTAGTTTGCACAAACGAGTTTTGAAAATGCAGAGGGTGATATCCCATAATTTTTTAAAGTAATGATAGTGACAAAAGATTGTTCTGTGCATTGTTCTTGATCTCTGGCAGCAAATCAACAATCATGCCATGTGACTGCTATGCAAAGAGCTAGCTCCAGGTCTGTCTCAGGGAGATATATAAGCAGGCAGTTGTAGCGCTTTTAAAGAACTGTCTAATATTTTTATCAGAAAACATCTACCAATTTTACCTTTTTTATTATTAATCATCGCAAGTACTATTATGAAACACATGCATATTTTGTTCTCTTACTCCCCGTCACACTCAACATCTACATTGCATCAGTTATCAGTTATCAAACAAAGAAATATCTGACAAAGACTCAGCTTCTCAGTAGTGACATCTTTACTTCCTCCATCTGTACAACATATCTGAAGTAATGTGTGCATTTTTGAAGTAAGTACGAAAGCAACACAAAGACAACCCAAACTGTACCTAATATGCCTAAAAAAGAGGTTGCTCAATGAAAACTGAAGAGCCAGTATGTCATGCAAAGTCCATTTTGATATTTGCTGAACTACAAATGTAAGTTATGGATCTGCCAGAAATGTAGTGACTAGTTTTCAAATAAGGGTTTTCAAAATCACACAGACAATGTGTGGCAGAAACTGTTTCTGAGTGGTAACGTAAAAGATCTCAGGTGTCCTGGATTTATACTGGGCTATCTCTATGATGGCTTTGTCCAGATGTGTTCCATTGTAGTACTGCCACAGCTGCATCTTGCGGTGTGTTGCTGGTGAGATTACAGCTTTCTTGCACTGTTGCAGGGAAAACATTCTTTCCTGCCAGGTAAAAGACGTGTCGTCTAGTGTACTGAGGTCCAGTCTCAGCAGAACAGGGAAAAGACCCAGGCTTTAGGACCCTAGTTCACCGCAAGCACCAGTCCCACTCAACACCCCCGCCGCAGAGCAGGTCATCAGTGCACGCTCCTACTGGGCGCAGACTCACAGCCTGCTTTTAGGAGAACAGAGAGGGACTGTTGCACGAGGGAAATACCCACATCAGTATCTGCTCACCCTCCTGCAGAAATATCTTGGCTCTTTTTTTTTTCCCTTGGCCTATTTCCCTCTCTTCTCATGGACAAGAAAGTGATTCTGAGCTATTCCTGAGACCACTGATCTAGCAGACAGTTTGATCTTCTGGAGCAGGGACTTGTAGCATCAACTTTCCGTCTGCAAAAATGGCTGCAGCCCCCCTCCCCCCCCCCGCCGCAGAGCAGGTCATCAGTGCACGCTCCTACTGGGCGCAGACTCACAGCCTGCTTTTAGGAGAACAGAGAGGGACTGTTGCACGAGGGAAATACCCACATCAGTATCTGCTCACCCTCCTGCAGAAATATCTTGGCTCTTTTTTTTTTCCCTTGGCCTATTTCCCTCTCTTCTCATGGACAAGAAAGTGATTCTGAGCTATTCCTGAGACCACTGATCTAGCAGACAGTTTGATCTTCTGGAGCAGGGACTTGTAGCATCAACTTTCCGTCTGCAAAAATGGCTGCAGCACTTATTTGTAAAGTATGTGGGGGTATGCAATTTCAAGAAAATGCAAAAAAAAAGGGAATTTTTGGCTTAAACTCCTAAAGTACATAAAAAAACCCTGCCAAATCATGTGTATTCTTGTAGTGCTAGTAGTGATAGACCTGTGCAAAATGTGTCAGCAAAGTGGCAGACCTGTGTGACAGCTGCATCACAAGTCTCATTCTGAATCCTTCTCCTCTCCCAGGCTTGTGGGTTTATACTTTGAGTCCAAATCAACATCCTGATGCCATCAGACTCTGATTAACTTGAAGTGATTTAACACTTGACTTCATATACATTATATTGGCTTTAGATTGCCAGTTTTCCAAATAGCTATATATAACATATACAGATTTCTGGGAAATTTTGAGACTTGAATCTGTCGTGGATTGAGAACTGGCTGGATGGCTGAGCTCAGAGGGTTGTGGTCTAGTTGGAGGCCTGTAGCTAGCGGTGTCCCCCAGGAGTCAGTCCTGGCTCCAGTCTTGTTCAGCTTATTCATCAATGACCTGAATGAGGATACTGAGCGCACCCTTACTCAGCCAGTCTGCTGATGATACGAAACTGGGGGAAGTGGCTGGGAACCCAGAAGGCCGGGCT